ACAAATGTTTGAGCAGAAAACCCACGACCACAACCAGCATCTTTAGAGATGAGAGAGAATGGACCAAAGAGAAACCATAATCTCACATTACAAAAAATGGAAAAAATAAAATAATTAGCTTAAGAAATCAATTAGTAAACAAATATAAACACAAAACAAAAAACAATAGCAAAGAAAATTTTACATACCTCTATGTAAGTTTTTAGAATAGTGATTGAAAGGTAGAAATTAGGTTTTCCTATAGATTTTTCAAATATAAATAATTTATAATTTGCCAATATGATATTGGAGGGTGTGTGGAGAGAAAAAAGACCCTCTATCATTAGTTTCTCTTTTGTAATAAAATTTAATTATATAATTAAATCTATTGTCTTTTTTGTCATTTTATTTAAAGGTATTTTTGTAATTAGAGATTTTTAATCTAAGAAGGTGTGGAGAGTAAAAAGGAAAGTGTACATAGAACCACCCATAAGATATTTGAGTATTCTTTAGTCGTCCAAATTGAAGATTGATTAGTCAGAATTTCCATACACACTTAAAATGCCTCAGTATGTACATAAGGTCCAAAATAGATGTTTATATTTTATAAATATAAATACAAACATAGGGTATAAATTTGTCTTTTCTCAAAAACCTTGTTACTTATTTTTAAAAAAAAAAAAGTTTTTCTAGTAGGACTAGAAAAAATAAACTACATATAATTTTTTATTTTAAATTGTCAAATCTGTAACAAAAATTATCTATTTTACATATATTTTTTTAATCTAATGTGTTTTTAATCAAATCTAACTATGCACGGAGTCAGTGCATGCCCAGTAGGGGCAAGCCCCCACTCAAATATTTTAGCTTTAAAAATTTTATATATATAAGTATCAATCATATTAGACTAATACAAATTAGCCCCCACTAAAATTAATCTTATAGTTCTTATTTTTAAAAGCTCAATATACATAAAAAATCACACACCTAATTTTCTTTTAATTAAATTCTTGACATTGTTATTAGCCCCACTCATAAAAATTTGTGGCTTCGTTATCGAATCTAATAGTAAAAAATTGATTCACTTTTCTACCGAAAAAAGTTTTTTTATTTTTTAAAAGAGGTTTTGTTGCTTAAAATGGTGGATTAGCGAATCCACCCACTCATAAAAATTTCTGACTTCGTTATTGAATTTAATAGTAAAAAAACTGATTCACTTTTCTACCGAAAAAAGTTTTTTTATTTTTTTAAAAAGGTTTGTTGCTTAAAATGGTGGATTAGCGAATCCAGTGAACGGTTACTAAAATGGGTGGATTCTGTTTCTTTGAATGGACCAACTAGCCAGGCTTTGAATAAATAGTAGTGGGAAAATTCAACTTTGACAACTGCCCAGTTACTGTACAAATCTGTGTGTGTTTGTGACTATTTCTTCTTTTGAAAATCCTGTCCAAATCTATGTTCCCATCAGAAAGATGGTCAAAGGATTCAAAAAAAAAAAAAAATAGTTATTTTTAATTTTTTATCTGCTTTTGGTATTTGTGATCGTGATTAAACGGTAGTGGGCAGGGCAGCCATCAACAGTCAACCAGCAAATGATGGAAGGAAGGCTGCACCACAAATTTCAATATGAAAATGAAAAATCTTTGGATAGAGCATGAAAAAAAAATACTCTCATACACTATATTAAATTAATTGGAGACACATGCTTTGGCATCATTCAGTTTGCAGATTTGAGTTTTCAATTTAAATTCATCTGTGATATTATGTGAGAACTTTTCACTGTAGTTAAAAAAAAAATAAATGTGACTTTTTTATGAGAGCTTTTAACTGTAGTAAAACTGAAATTAAAAACTCGAGTCGATAAAATGAACGAGATCATCTTTTGTGAGAGCTTTGTGTGAATTTAATTTTGTTGAATTGTTTGATACACGTGTAATTTAGTTCATTTTTTTAATTTATTGATAAATCTCTTAATTCATTATTTAAGGGTATATTTTAAAAAATAGTATACTTTGTTAAGAAGAAAATGTTATAGTAGGATAAATATTTATAACATTATATTTGAACAAAGTAATATTTTCAAAGACTATAAGAGATCATGTTTATATATTTTTTAGGCATACATTTGAGAAAAATAATTTTAATATAGCATATAAAAAGATTATTTTAAAAAGGCACATTTAAAAGTGTAAATTTCAAAAGTAGTATTAATATGTGTATTTTTATAAAAAATTACATGTACAGATAAATGAAACACATTGAAATATTAGAAATAATTAAATAGTATAGTAATTATTAGTGTACAAAATTTTTTGTAAGTAAAAATTCATTGTGAAAAATTTTTAAAGTGGAGAAAATTTAAAAAGTGTATTTACAAAAGCCACATTTAATAAAATAATATCTATAACTTTGTAAAAATATTTAATTAGAATATATTTGAAAAGGATGTATTTTAACATGAACAAATCTATAGAACACTATAAATGTAAAAAATGAAAAGGATAATAGTAGCTTAACAAAAACGTAAAAAGTTAAAAGGGTAATAAAATGATAATATAAGTTTAGGAAAAAAAAGCTAAATAGCACATCAAATAAATTAAAAAAGTTGAAAAACATGAAAAATAAAAGGATAATAAAATCCAATGGAAAACCAAAAAAGAAAGGGAAAAAAGGAGGAGAAAAAGCAAAAGCACAAAATGACAAAATAACTTACCTAAAATTTTGAATAGTGTTTAAAAGAAACCTCCTTTATAATATAGTAACAGATTCGGTAAAGTCTCAAATCTGATGATGCACTGATTAATCCGACAAATGTAACTTTTTTTATATGTACGTGTATCATTATTGATTCTTACATATAACTTTTTTCATATACTCATGTAGTATTTAATGTTACACGTATTAAATTATATTTTTTAAATGTCACATTTAAACAAATTGAATATTACACACTGAAATGAACGATGTTACACGAAGATATGAAAAAACTACATTTAGTGGACTAGTCCGGGTACCGAATTTAAAACAATTCTTATTAAATTATTATATATTTTTATTATTCTAATATGATTTGTACGCAATTTAACAAAGATATTTTCCATCCCACCTCAGAATTATCTAAGAAAAAAAACTAAGTGATCCCATTTACACTCAATTAATATATCAATTACATACATCACCACATATTTTGTAATTTTTTCATTGGTACATATTATAAAATTAAATAGGTGTAGTATTGTCACGTAGCGAGGGTTGTAAATAATCAATAATTATGTGTTTGCTGAGTGGAATTCATTTTTTTTTCCAAATTAAAGGAGGAAGAATTCGAACTTCGAGGAATTGAACAAAGTAAATAGTTAGAGCATCATCGAATTTTGGATGAATATATGGTTTCTTTCTCTCTTTCTTTCTTTCTTCCTTTCTATTATTTTCTTTTAAATTAACGTATCACTAAATTTTCTCTTAGGAGTGACCGATTGTTTAATTAGCAATTACTTTGCAAACATAATATTAATAAATGAATTTAGTAAAGTTAGAAAATTATAGAATGTGAAATGCATGCGAAAGCATGCACGTATTTGCTTCACTTCAATGTGAACAACACAAAGTGGATCTACCAATTTATTCTTCAAATTTACCAAATAATCAAATAAATAGCCACAACAGCGAAGAGAACAACTCAATATTAGTGAAAAGTGAAGATTCCTAATATGATTATTTATATTTGTTTCTTTTTTTAAAAATGATTACTTATTGGTTATAACTTTTTTTTCCCTCTTTTTGCTAGATAGTAGTTTTAATTTTGATATGTAGAGTGTATTCATAACTCAAGCTATATTACTAAAATGTTTTCTCTAATATAAATTTAAATTTAATTTTTTTACTATAATATTTTTTTCTCATATACACAATTGAAGTCAAGACTTGAGTTATGTAAATGAACACAACTGTAGAATTTGTATAAAAACATTAGAACGAGATTCCGTCTTCTTGTTTGTGTGCCCTAACATGTTCCTTAAAATGAAAAGGTGCCATGTAACAAAATGGACGTCGATGTAAATGAAACCTTTTCAAGTTTTCTCTTTTGTTGCAGAGAAGACCGATGGTTGTGATTTTTGGGAATGACACTGAAGCGAGTACGATATGTTGTCAGAGAATTTCGATAACAATGGTGGTTTCCGAGGCCCTGGCTTGTTTTTTTTTTTTTTTTTGGTGATATTGAATTCTGTTAATTTGTATTCGAAAAGAACAATTCATCATTCTGTTGGCAGCTTTGAATACCAAGTTATTTGTTCTTTGTTTCTGATGTCGAGATCATACTGACTAATCATGGTATCTAACTTAAAATAAAGAATGTTTTTTTGTAAAATCACAGCTCGTTTGGTTGGAGAATTCGTTCTCTGATTCGAATTATGATTCATAGTTCATTATAGTATTTTTTCTCACAAAAAATACACCTAAATCGAAAATAATTTTAATCTCATAATTCTAATCTATATCTATGAACTAAACGGGAGTACGATATTTGGAAAACAAAACAATTCCATTATTACACAACATTTTCAAATGTGTCTCCTTTTTATTTGAGAGAAAAGAGCATGTGATTTAAAATTTCAGTTTACCACATCGTTGTCATCTTAGTTTATGTTGTAGAAAGGTAACCAATCCACTCATGGATTCAGCAATATAATGTCATAACAATACAAGAATCATATATTTTTCTTCCCGATTGGTGATTGCTGATTAAAAAAATAAAAATAAATAAATAAAACCTCTCGGTATAACGGATAAACAGTTCTTTTGGGCTTTCAGCCCACAAGGTGTAGAGCGGCCCGTAGCACGCAACGGGCCTCACCCAATAAGGCCCATCTAGCCCAACCACAACCTCCCCCAATGAAAAGCTCTTCTGTGAAAAAATGGAGGGTGCTAGACTTTTTCGTTTATTTGACTAAAAAAAGGTTACTAATCAATATTAGAATAAAAGATAAAAATTTTAACTTAAATCAAGATTACTCCTGTTTTGTTCTCCGTCTGAGGCCGTCGAAGCTCGATAAGCTCGCAAAAATGGAGGAAGAAAAAGCCGCGGCGTACTACGACGAGCTTACTCGGAAAGGCGGCGGAGCCGCGAGATTCAAGCGAGGCCTCGGCTTCTCCGCTGCATCGGATGCCGGAAATGTCCCGGCGAGAGGCTTGGCTCTACCTTCTTCGTCTTCTTCCTTCCTCAGCAACTTCGTCAAGGCCTCCAGCCCCTCCAAGGTGTCGGAGCTCGAGAAACAAGCTCAACTGGAATCCATACAAAACAAGCTCAAGAAGAAGAAGGAGAAGGAGAAGCGAAGCCTTTCCAGAGACGAAGAAGACAGAGACAAGGCTAGGGTTTCTCGCGGGGACGACCGGCAAACTTCCAGGAGGCGAAGCAGGAGCAGAGAGAGGGAGAGAGGAATAGATCGTCATTCGAGTCGGCGAAGTAGGAGTAGAGAGAGATATAGAGAGAGAAGGCGGAGAAGTAGGTCTCGGAGCGATTCGGATGGCGATAGGCGGCGAAGAGAGAGAAGGAGAAGCCGGAGCTCGTCGCCTCGGAATCGGAGGGCTGAGAGGAGGAGCCGGAGCCGGAGCCGGAGTCGGAGTCGGAGTTCGTCGCCCCGGCGGAGAGCCGAGAGGAGGAGTCGGAGCCCGTCGCCGCGGGATCGGAGGTCGGATAAGGACCGGAAAGTGCGGAAGGAGTGGAATGGAGGTGTTGATTATTCGCGGTTGATCGAAGGCTATGAAAAGATGGTAAATTCGTTCGATTTCTTTGCGTTTGCTTTGATTTGGCAATGAAGTTCGTGACTAATTAAGCTTCTTATAATTGAAAGATTCAAACAGAAAAATTTTTGCTTTAACTCTTGATGATTACGGGAAAGTTTTTGATTTCTTAAGTGGCGGGAATTAGGTTTAAAGAAGTTTTTCAATATCTTTTTTTTTTTTTTTTTTTTTTTTTTTTTTGGGCAGTCCCCAGCCGAAAAAATCAAAGCAAAGAGGTTTTTTTTTTTTTTTTTGAGCAGTCACCAGCTGAAAGAATCAAAGCAAAGATGAAGCTTCAACTGGCTGAAACTGGTAATTCTTGCTTACTGTATCGATCTGATTGTTAATAATTTTAATTTACGGTTCAATTAAGTTTAATGTGTATGCGTTACTTGGAGCTAAATGATTGAGAAAATGGCCAAACACTAGATAAAATTTCTAATTATCTGTAACGAAATGGAGTTTCCGAATTGTTTGTGTGATGACAATTAGAGAGTAATTTAACCAAAAAGGGGGACATGTTATTATGTTGAAAAGATGTTTTAATGAATGATCTTCATGAACGTTTTACTTTACCTTATTCCGTGATGAACCCTATCTTAGTGTGGTCTCAACCAATATCCTATATCGAGCAGTTTGACTATAGCCATATGTGTTATAGTTATGGGTGTGATTAGAGATCTGTTTTTATCTTACTGCTGCAGAATGTAAAGTGTAAAGTTTAGTGTTATCTCCTGCATTTGTATGAAACTGAAAGGGCAGTTCTTTAGTGAATTTTTTTCCACTTGGGTGTGTGATATTATGGATTAACGTAAAATCGAAGTCTCTTGAAAAAAGAAAAAGGGATTAGGACCTTGAGGTAAAATCCGAGCCGTCCAACTTGCTCTATCAAATGATCGCTTCTTTATAACGAATTTGCTTCTTTTTCCCCCCGCATATCCGGTTATAGATTTTTCTCGCTTTAAATGCAGTTAAAAAAGATGCAACAAAAGGCAGCTCAGGTTGGGAGAGGTTTGAGTTCAACAAGGACGCACCCCTTGATGATGAGGATACTGAAGGTTGATTTTTCACTTGACTGCCTGTCTGTAATCTTCTAGAAAGTATCAATTACTATGCTTGCTTCTTGTGTTTTGCAGTTTGATGCTACGAGTTCATCCAGAATGTGTTTTCTATTCTCAATGTGTTATTTGCAGAGCATTGTATAAGTCATATTATTATAGCCGTTAGCCTTGGGTTGGGTTCAGAAATGATTTTTGGAGCGGTTTTTCTTCAACTTCATAATTGCTTATCATTACTGACATTAAGAATCTATATAGCTTGCAAGTCATAGGTTAAAATTTTTTCTTGGGGGAACGATGCCGCGATCCTGTATTCCTGTTAGTTCAAGGTAGAGATATTCATGCATGGTTCACCTTATCTACAGCTGCAGAAGATGACACGGAATTAGTGAAGCACATTGGTCAAAGTTTCCGATTCTCTGTAGTTGAGGTTATCTTCTCTTTCGCAACCAATGATTCGTTTTTATTTTCGGTATTGGCTTGTGTGCAAATATATCTATGATTTGTGTTTGTATGAAACAGCATTCCGTAGTTCTTAATATCATCATTTTGGTGTCTTTTTTTTTAAGGCAAAACGCAAGGAGCAAATTAGAGCTGCTCATGATGAGGCCATTTTTGGTGCACCTGTAGTCCTGCCCTCCATTGCTACCAATGATGAGCCTGACCCCAAGCCCGAGTCCGAGCCTGAGAATGAGAATGAGACGGACAAAAAGGAGAGTAATGGATGTGATCTTGCTGCAAGCCTCTTAAGTGAGAAGGTAAATTATTTCCTTTTCGTCCTTTTTGTTTGTTGAGATGTAGACGGTGTGAACATTTGAACATTGATGTATTGTTGTCTTGGTTTTAGGTACTTGCTAAACAACAAGGTTCCTGGCGCGACCGTGCTCGTAGACAAAGGAACTAGTATGGAAGACATGAACCAAGTTCACTTCGAACTAATGTCGATAAGTAGGTCCTAATTCGTCAGCAAGGTTGATGGTTGTAGAAAAGATCTTTGCCAATGGAGTTTGAGGTGGACAGCTTCACATCAGATTCCTTCTATAAGTATTCTTGTTCAGACAACCGGATTTCCCCTTTGTCCGGGAAGCTTGAACCACAGTGATGCTGTGAAATCAAAAGTGAAAAAGAAAAAAGATTTCAGATCCGAAAAAACCAAGAACTGTTGAAACTGGAGGACTTTCGATGTTTATAGTTTCTGCTCACTCAGTGCCACTTCTGATGGAATTAAGAGCATCTCTGAGATTCTGAGTTCCATCTCTTCATCTCCGTTGAAAAGTTTTGGTATTTATGTTCTGGCGTTTGTGGTCATAAACAAAAAGTTGCTGAGAAGATGCAATAAAAACTTTATTCTTGTTTGTTCATTAAAGAGCAAGTTTCTATTTGTTATTAGTCATTTTTGCCATTACTTTCGAAACAAAGGTTCAACTTTGCTAAAATGGATTGCTATGTATATAAGTCTCGTTCATTTTACCGATTCAAGTTTAGAATTTGAGTTTTACTACAGTAAAAAGTTCTTAGAAATAGTTACATGTAACTTTTTTATTGTAGTAAAAAGTTCTCACATAAAGTCACATCTCAATTCAAATTAAAAACTCGAACCAGCGAACTTAGTGGACATATAATTCTTTGCTCACACACTATTAGTTTAAGTGTTATAATTCTTTGCTCAGACACTATTAGTTTAAGTGGCCAAAGCGAATAAGCCATGTAGCAGGGCATCGTGATGATGTCGTTTGATTGATTTACATGATGCATCACATAAATAAATGAAAAAACATCAACGTTGTAATGATGTAAAAAGTTCATCTTTCGCGTGGCATGATGTGTAGGCGAAGGTATCTTCTTTCTTCAAGTCTTAAAGATAAAAGTTCAGATTGAACAATTTCACTTTAGCTCCAAGCCATCCGTATTAGCTAGAAAGCAATGGCATGCCGACCTGTAATCCAGCAAGCATGTGAAGGTGGGAATAGACTGTATGTAAGGACTAGAGATGATAGTTTGAGCCGCCCAGTTCGGCCCGACCCTGAAAGGGGAAGGGGGCCAGTCCTGCCTCACCGTAAAGCCCGACAGGTCTAGAGCCTGCCAAACTTAATAAGGTATTTTCAAAGCAGCAAATACTTCTCTAAGTATGGAAGGTGTTAGTTAAGGCGTGGCAAAAAATAGGGTGTTGGGTAGGCATGAATAAGCTTTTGATTTGGGCTGACACCTAGGCGGCCCTGCCCTATCTGGAGTTTTGGAACAGCCCCTTTAGTTCAATTTAAATTTGCAGCTGTAGTAAGAACATACAAGAAAGATAGGAGACAAGGAGAACCTGGGGTAGGGAGCCCAAAAGAAAAAAGAGACCCCTGAAGCAAATCAAATGACACTCAAGGAGGAAAGAAGCTTCTAGAACCTCAGGGTGCGCTACAGAGCCGGAATAAAAATAGTACCAGTAATGAGAATGAGAATATAATAAAAAAAATGTGTTAAAAATAAAATTTAATTCTTTTTTTAGTTAGAGTTATAAAATAAATTCAAAATGAAATGAGATTAATTGTCCGTCGGAAGGCTTTTTGTTTTTGGTTATTATTATTTTTTTTTTCAGGAGATTGTTGTCAACATTAATTAAGTTCAAGATACAACTTTCTTTGCCGAAGAACAACTACAAATATGAAAAAACACAATCCAGAGTTTACCTAAATATGAAAAAAATCATCGTCTAAGAACAATTATGTAATACCCCAAATCTAAAAAAAAGAAAACTACTATTCAAAGTTTACTCAAATATGAAAAATCACCGTCTAAGAACAATTATGAACCACCCCAAATCTAAAAAGAGACCATAATCAAAGAACACCTCCAAATCTGTAATCACTGTACAATAAAAAAATTTTGAAGAACAAACTCATATCTGAAAAACTAAAAATCTGAACAAACCAAATATGGAAAAAGAAACCCATCAATTTCTGCATACAAACACATAAAAATGAAATTCATGTTAACAATAGAACGAAATCGGCTTCAATTTCAAGGGAATTTTTCCATCTCGGTACAAAACCATCAATTTTTACTCTTGAAATTGTCTTATATTGTGAGGAAGAAGGTGGAATGTCGGTCTAAGCGCCACTTGGTGCGAACTCCAACGATCTCCGGCGGTGCTCGACGCTAGTTCTGGAGGTGGAGTTTCAACGTGAATCAAGTTGGATTTGAGAAAGAAGAACATATGAGTTTTGATTTTCGTGTACTTTGTGTTCAGAAGATGGATAGGGTAGTCAAGGAAAAAATAATTCCACCAACATTAGAATCACAATTCTACTGGATCATGGGATGAATGACCTTTTTATCAAAATGGGTTAATGGGCTTTCCATTAGAATGGCCTTTCTGATAAATTTTTTTTAATCAAACAAAAGATTCAGGCCTTGGCTGAGGAATTGTCTTTCCTTTCCTTTCCATTACCTCAAACCAAATGCACACTCAGCTTCTAGCATCAAAGGAAGTTGAAATTCCGCAGAGTTCTTAAAACAAACTGTCCAATGGGAAGAAAAATTGGACTATAATGTCTTTGGCCATCTGAGAAGCTACCATGGCTGACAATCAAATATTAAAACTATATTTGGTGGTAAATTTGTCAAAAAGCATAACATATTAATAAATTTAATATCAAGAATAGTGTTGTATTGGTTTTTCTACTCACATACAACAGTTTAGTATTAGTATACTAATTTAATATTGCATCGAAAATAATCTAAATTCTATAAAATAGTAAGGTAGATGTTACCTTTGAAAAAAAAAAAAAAACAAAAGAACAAAAAAATAAAATAAAATAAAAACCAACCAAAGAAAGAGGCTATTGAGATTGAGCTTATCGAGGTCGTTTATCGCTCTCTTATCCCTTCTTTCCTTTGCTTGCAGCTTAAATCTTGCTTAGAAAAAGTCAATAAAAGTTTAATATAATTTTTAGAATTATCTCTTATTTATTTTATTAAATAATAACTCTTATGTAAGTTGGATGTATGTTCCAAAAAAAAAAAAAAAAAACTTGCATGTAATTGCGTTAATTTTAATATTCACTAATTTTTTTTAATTAATTATTTATATTGTATTTTTTACTCTCGTCTAGAGTTGCAAGTTTAGGTCGGACTAAACAGGCGGGCCTGAGACCTGCCACTGTTAGCTTGAATCTTAAATTTTTTTAGCTTAAGACCAAATTGAGCCGATTCTCTCTCCTTTAGAGCCGGACCAATCCAGCCCAAACATCATATTTTTAAAAGTTTTTTTATTTAAAAAAAAATCCTTATAAAATTTCAGGTTTGGTTGAGCCGACCATTTCTCTTTTAAAACCAGACCGAGCCGACCCTTCATTTTTTAAGACCTGAAATTTCCCTTTAAGCTGCCAAGCTCAAGCTGGTCGGTCTAAATTTACACCTCTACGGTCTCATTAGTCATATCAAGTTGCCTTTTACTTTATTTATTTATTTTGCTAATCTTAAGTTGCGTATTATTCCCTCCTCTATTTAGGTCCACCATGGACAGCTCCGATGGTTGGCCTTGGCGACTAGCTCTGAAGACCGATGGTTGGTAAATACCGTATTTACTTGAAAATTTAGCGTACGGCTCTGACGACTAGTAAATACCGTATTTACCAGTAAATATCGTATTTACTCGCAAATATCATATTTACTTGAAAAGTCAGCGCCAACGACCGATAAATATGGTATTTACTTGTAAATATCGTATTTACTTATAAAAGCCATATTTATCTAAAAATCCAATTTCCGATAACGGGTAAATAGCGTATTTATTGATAATTTTCATATTTACCGATAACTACTGTATTTACTAGTAAATACTATATTTTTCTAAAAATTCAGCTACAAACTCTGGCGACCATTAAATAATGTATTTATCAATAAATATCGTATTTACTCATAAATATGATATTTATCTAAAAATTTAATCACCGACGACCAATAAATACTGTATTTATTAATAAATATCGTATTTATTTATTAATAAATACAATATTTATCATATTCGGAACTATAACAACTAAAGTATTCATAAATAAATATAATATTTACCCTATTTAAAATTGTTATTACAAAAGTATTTATACATAAATACAACATTTATAAAATTCAAACTTGTAATTATTACCGTATTTCCCCGTTAGAGTATTTACTGGTAAACATAGTATTTACCAGATTCTAAACGCAAAATTATCGTATATCAATTCTGAAAGTAATAAATTAAAGTCTCGTTCACTTCACGGATTCAAGTTTTCAATTCGAGCTGAGATGTGACATTTGCTGAGAGCTTTTCACTGTAGCAGAAAAAGTTAGACGTGATATTTTTTGAGAGTTTTTTACTGTAAAAATTTAAAACTGAAAACTCGAATGGGTGAAGTGAACGAGGCCTAAATTTTACAAAAATCAATCCCGAACTCATATGAAAATCTGAAAATCGCAAACTCAGATCCGACAATAGGCGATTGCTTATAGAATAGTGAAAAATAAATCAGAACAATAGTGCAAATAAATCAAAACACATATACTAATACGCAATAGCTTCTTGGGTAACATTAATCAAAATTTCTAAGTTGGTTTAAACGAATCTTTGCACATCAAATTGTATAGTGGAACCCCCTAAATACCAAAGAAGTCCTCTTTTTCTAAGTCAAAACACAACCAAAACCCAAAAATACCAGTAATTACAACAGGCAAAGACTAAGGAAAAAGCTCGGTGGCCTCACCAGCGGCAACTAAATGGCTCCGGCAAGGAGCTGAGTGAAGGACTTGTAGTCCAAATCAGGGTTGTTATCGGAGAAGAATCTGGACACGAGAGTCAACGCCTGGGGCCGGCCCCTGTCCCACCGAAAAAGGAGTCCATGGGTGGCCGTGGCGGGAGCGTTATCGTCGGTTGATCGGCGCCGGAGAAGCAGACCTCACGACAGTTAAATCGGCGCCGGAGAAGAAGGACGCCTCGCGACGGTTGAATCGGCCGTTCCCAATCTTCGATCGTGGCCGGATCTATCAAGCGTCGATCGAATAGGCTGCAGATATGAAATTCACGGACGCCGGATCTGTCAACCCTAGGCGGCGCGACGGACATCCCAACGACGGTGTCACTTGGCCGGAATCGCGAAGCTTCGCCCGTCAGAGATCTGTGCGCGCAGCAGGCCGGAATCGCAAGAGAAGCTCGCCGGAGATTCTCTCATACAGTGGCTATCGTCGGTCGTCGGAAGCCGCCGCCGTCGCTGGTCGTGGCTGCATCTGATTTACAGAGAGAGAAGAGAAAGAGGCGGTAGAGAGTGTTCCGGAAAGCAATCTGAGATAGAGAAAGAAAAACAATCTCAGTGAGAGAAAAGAAAGAAAACTTTGAGGGTAAAATTGGAAATAAATATAAGTCACGCTCAAGTTGTTCCTAAGTCAGCCAATAATGGCTACCGTTTATTTCACCAATTTAAATTTTACTATAGTAAAAAGCTTACACAAATATTTATATTTAATTTTTTTTTACTATAATTAAAAACTCTCATATAAAATTACATCTCAACTCAAATTAAAAAAACTCGAATTAACGAACGAACTCATGACTAATCTAAAAGAAAAAATGACGATGGGCTATAATTATTAGGCCTCGTTCACTCTGCGGATTCTAGTTTTCAATTCTAGTTGAGATGTGACATTTTTTAAGAGTTTTTTCACTGTAGTAGAAAAAATTAGATGTGATATTTTCTGAGAATTTTTTACTGTAAAAATTTAATAGTCCATTTAGTTCATAGATTAGAACCATTTTTGATTTACGTGTGTTTTTTGTGAGAAAAAATATTGTAGTAAATCATAAACCATGAACTATGATTCGAATCAGAGAATAAATTTTACAACTAAATAGGCTCTAAAATTAAAAACTGAAATCGGTGAAATGAAAGAAACCTGAGATTTAAAAAGTTACTATTAACTTCAAATATAAATTTGAAATGTGCTATTTGCTGTATTTTTTCTTTTTTTTAATGGATAGGTATTCATCACCTTAAAAATTGCCTTTTTATTATCACGCATTTTTTTCCATTTAAAATTTTTGAGCTTATGATCAAAGCTAATTCCTGACTTTTAAAAAATTTTAAATGAAAAAAAATCTAATAAAATCGTTCATATTTCGTAAATCACAACATTTTCTAACTGAAAAATACATGATGGTCCGCACATGGTTTTCCTCCAAACAGCTTATTTGAGGAGCACAATTTGACCACGTGTCATCTCATGATTCGTTCAGTAACTGAGTACAAAATTATGTCATTCTCCCCCTCCAATAGCCAATCAAAATCCACCATTTAAAATTAAATAAAAATAATAATAACATTATTTAAGAAATAAATTAATTAAAGCTTTTACCAGATAAAGTCTCTCTCACTTCATTAGTTCCGCCTCTTTCTGCAACTCTAAGCTCTCTTTCTCTCTCCTCTTTTGATCTTTCTCAGAATCCAAGCAATGGCATCTTCCGCTGCGAGTAAATGGCTGAGGCCTGAGGTATTTTCTTCCG